TGTGAGCCACTGCACCTGGCATGTTTTCTTTTTTTTTTTTTTTTTTGAGACGGAGTCTCGCTCTGTCGCCCAGGCTGGAGTGCAGTGGCCCGATCTCAGCTCACTGCAAGCTCCGCCTCCCGGGTTCACGCCATTCTCCTGCCTCAGCCTCCCGAGTAGCTGGGACTACAGGCGCCCGCCACTGCGCCCGGCTATGGCATGTTTTCATCTTCTTAAATAAATCACTCCTGGAGGCTTTGACCAGTCCTGCTGGAACAGATTTCCCTTTAAGTGCTTTGCTGCGCATGTGTCATCTTAGTATTTCCTCCCATCACTATCCTGGAAATCCCTCTGCTGTTTTCTTGTGTTGAGTACTCAACTTCTAGAATCCCATGTCTTTCTCTTTCTCATTTTGGTGGAGTAAATGTTCCATTAGCCTCCTGAGAAAGTTCATGGGAGATAAATATTTTGAGGCCTGGCGGATCTGAAATTGTCTTTCTTATAGTCTTGTCTTTGGATGGTGATTTGTTGGGTATAAAATTCTAAGTTAGAAATGATTTTTCCGGCCGGGCGCGGTGGCTCAAGCCTGTAATCCCAGCACTTTAGGAGGCCGAGACAGGCAGATCATGAGGTCAGGAGATCAAGACCATCCTGGCTAACCCTGTGAAACCCCATCTCTACTAAAAAAATACAAAAAACTAGCCGGGCGAGGTGGCGGGCGCCTGTAGTCCCAACTACTCGGGAGGCTGAGGCAGGAGAATGGTGTAAACCCGGGAGTCGGAGCTTGCAGTGAGCTGAGATCCAGCCACGGCACTCCAGCCTGGGCGACAAAGCGAGATTCCGTCTCAAAAAAAAAAAAAAAAAAAGATTTTTCCCTTGGAATTTTGTCAGGCATTGCATCATTATTTCCTAATTTCCAGTGTTTTTGTTGAGAAATGATGTCAGACTTTTTTTTAAAACTTTTATTTTAGGTTCAGGGGTACATGTGCAGGTTTGTTATATAGGCAAACTCGTGCTATGGGGATCTGTTGTACAGATTATTCCATCCCCCAGGTACTAAGCCTAGTACCCAATAGTTATTTTTCTGCTCCTCTTCCTTTTTTTTTTTTTCCTCTGCTCCTTTTCCTTCCCACACCCTTTACCCTTAAGTAGTCCATTCTTTTTTTCTTTGTGTCCATGAGGTATCATTTAGTTCCCATTTATAAGTGAGAACACATGGTATTTGGTTTTCCTTTCCTGGGTTAGTTTGCTAAGGATAATGGCCTCTAGCTCCATTCATGTTCCCACAAAAGACGTGATCTCATTATTTTTTATGACTGCATAGTATCCTATGGTGTATATGTACCACATTTTCTTTATCCAGTCTGTCACTGATGGGCAGTTAGGTTGATTCTATGCCTTTGCTATTGTGGATAGTGCTGCAGTGGACATTTGTATGCATGTGTCTTTATGGTAGAATGATTTGTTTTCCTCTGGGTGTATACCTAGTAATGGGGTTGCTGGGTTGAATAGTAGTTCTGTTTTAAGCTCTCTGAGGAATCACCATGTTGCTTTCCAGAATGGTTGAACTAATTTACATTCTCTATCATTAGTATATAAGTGTTCCCTTTTTTCCTGCAACCCTGCCCCCATCTATTATTTTTTGAATTTTTTTTTTTTTTTTTTTTTTTTTTTTTTTTTTTTTTTTTTTTTTGAGATGGAGTCTCACTGTTTCGCCCAGGCTGGAGTGTAGTGGTGTGATCTCGGCTCACTGCAACCTCCTCCTCCCAGGTTCAAGCAGTTCTGCTTGCCTCAGCCTCCCGAGTAGCTGGGATTACAGGCGTCCGCCACAACGTCCAGCTAATTTTTGTATTTTTTAGTAGAGACGGGGTTTTGCCATATTGGCCAGGCTGGTCTTAAACTCCTGACCTCAGGTGATCTATCTGCCTCGGCCTCCCGAAGTGCTGGGATTACAGGCATGAGCCACTGCGCCTGGCCTTATTTTTTGACTTTTTAATAATAGCCATTCTGATTAGTGTGGGATGGTATCTCATTGTGGTTTTGATTTGCATTTTTCTAATGATCACTGATACTGAACTTTGTTTCATATGCTTGTTGGCTGCATGTATGTCTTCTCTTGAAAAGTATCTTTTTATGTCCTTTGCCTACTTAAAAATTTTTTTTTCTCATAAATTTAAGTTGCTTATAGATGCTGGATATTAGACCTTTGTCAGGTGTATAATTTGTGAATATTTGTTTCCCATTCTCTAGGACGTCTGTTTACGCCGTTGATAGTTTTTTTTGCCGTGAAGAAGGTCTTAAGTTTAATTAAATCCCATTTGTCAGTTTTTGCTTTTGTTGTGATTGCTTTAGGCATCTTCGTCATGACATCTTTGCGTGTTCCTATGTCCAGGGTGGTATTGCCTAGGTTGTCTTTCAGGGATTTTTAATTTTTTAATTTTTTTTTTTTTGAGATGGAGTCTTGCTCTGTCTCCCAGGCTGGAGTGCATCGGTGCTATCTCAGCTCACTGCAAGCTCTGCGTCGCGGGTTCATGCCATTCTCCTGCCTCAGCCTCCCAAGTAGCTGGGACTACAGGTGCCCACCACCACGCTCAGCTAATTTTTGTATTTTTAGTAGGGATGGGGTTTCACTGCGTTAGCCAGGATGGTCTCCAATCTCCTGACCTCATGATCCGCCTGTCCTGGCCTCCGAAAGTGCTGGGATTACAGGCATGAGCCACCACGCCCTGGCTGTCTTTCAGGGATTTTTATAGTCAAACGTATTTCTTAGTCTTTTGTGTAAAACCTGTTTATTTCTCTCTGGACTTTGGAGGAACTACTTTTTTGTTCCCTGTTTTCTGAAATTTCCATGCATTTAACCTGAGCTCCTTTAGTAGGCCCTTTCGGTTTGAAACTTATATCCTTCGGAATCTGCCTATTTCCATGGATTTGTTTCTATAATAGTTTCCTCCCCTTCAGAGAGACATTATATAGTGCAGTGGTTAAGAGGATATATCATGGAGCCAGGCTTTCAGGGTTTGAATTTCAGCTCTGCCCCTCACTAGCCCTGTGAACTTGGGTCATAGGGGTCATAATAGTACCAATCTCATGAGATTATTGTGAAGAATAAATAGGTTTATATATGTAAAATGCTTAGAACAATGCTTACAAAATAATAAGACTATTTAATGTTATAAATTTATATTTTCTCATTCTGCGCCTTTATTTAGATTTTGAACTTCTTGGATAGTCTTCTAATTTAAAAAATTTTCAATTTTTTCATCTCCATCTTTTTGGTTTATTATCTGGGAGATTTTTCTTTTATTTTTATTTAGCTTTTTATTTTCTTAGTTTGTGTTTTTGATTTCTTTTCTTTTTCTTTTTCTTTTCTTTTCTTTGTTTTTTTGTTTTTTTTGAGATGGAGTTTCGCTCTTGTTGCCCAGGCTGGAGTGCAATGGTGTGATCTCTGCTCACTGCAACTTCTGCTTCCTGGGTTCAGGGATTCTCCTGCCTTAGCCTCCCAAGTAGCTGGGATTACAAGCATGAGCCACCACACTCAGCTAATTTTTGTATTTTTAGTAGAGACAGGGTTTCACTATGTTGGCCAGGCTGGTCTTGAACTCCTGGCCTCAAGTGATCTGCCCACCACAGCCTCCCAAGGTGCTTGGAGGCCAGGCCTGAGCCACTGCACCCGGCCGTGTTTTTGATTTTTAAGAGCTTTTTTTCCTCTGAATATTTCATTTCTTATTGCAGTCATGGATGTGATATATGGATGTTATACTCTCTCCTATTTTTTTTAGGAGACAATGTTAGGTTTTTTTTTTTTTTTCCCTCTTCTAAGTTGTCATCTTTCTGCATAGTCTTTCAAGGCATGCTTCTTTCTATGCACCGTATTTTTGGTCTCTCTTTATCATGTTAGGTGCTTCCTAAACTCTTGGTGATTGTTGGCTGTCTGCTTACGTTGAAAAGTAGGGGCTTCACCTAAAAAGATGACTGGAAGCTCAGTGTATGAGGCTTTGTGTTTGTGGTTTGCTCTGTAGGGTTATTTGGTTAAGCTGTTTTGATAGAGAACGACTGGCATCAGTATCTTTAGGTATTTTTCACCTGGTTGCTTAGGTTATGTAGGGAAGACACTTCCAATCACTGCTTGACTGCCATCTTTCTGACAGGACAAGTAGTATTAAAACTCTAGAGTGCTCTTTTATTATATAACTTTTAACTCAAGCTTATTGTATGTAGTATGAAAAACTTATGTCATTTATATCTAATGTCTTATGATCCAGAGACCTTCTGTTTTATCCTCTCCAGGGAATAAACCCCTAGTGTTTTTCTGCCAGACTGGGAAAGAGATAGGTGCCCAGTTGTGTGGTATAGGGGATAGAGGATCTGAGGATGTAATTATTTTGTTGGCAGACTTTCAACTAATTCTCCTGTTTTCTGCTCTACTTTTACCCCGATTTTCAAAGGTGTCGTCAATTACTGAGCTTTTGGGGGTTATCAGTTACCACTTGTCCACATGCATTTCAGCTTCCAGTATTTTATTGCTATTATCTCATCTTTTGTGTTCTTTCTCTTGTGAGTTTATACCTCTGAATTCTGTTTGCGGTTATTTTAATGTTTCATTTTTATTTTTGGGAGAGAGTAGTGTGCTTTAGTCTGACATTTTTCTTTTCGTATTATGTATTACATGTGCAGTAAACAAAATGTATTATTTACAAAGAAAAAAAGTGGGTGAACCCAGTCTCTTCCAAAATGATCCAGCCTGTGGTATGATCAGACAGTTTAAGTTGCAATCTTGAATAATGTGGTAATTTCCCATTAGACAGTGGTTTGTTGCTAGATGTCTATCTATCTATATATACTACTTTGTATTTCTACATAGCTTTCGCAATGGACATCTTTTACTAGATTGTGAACTCTAAGTCAAGAACTATGTCATGTTCTCTTTGTTTTTTGAAAAATAAGTTATCAGAAATATCAGAAATGCTCTGAAATGTGCTTTATGAGAAGCATATGCATTTTACTATAATCTCATTTTGTAGGTTGAAGAATGCCTCATCAGATGTAAAACAAATACTTAAAACTGAAACAGAGTTGGATATTACTGCTGATCTCAGGAAGAAACTCCATCGGGCTAAAAAAGAAAAATTAGAAATAACAACCAAACACAATGCAGAGGTACGATTTATTTTCCTCTGAAATAATGTTAAAAGTTGAGTTTGATTTTTTAGATTTATTTCATATGAAAAACTCCATGTTTAACCTTTATCACTATACCATTCTTGTGTTTAAAAAGGAAATTGTAATAAATAAAACATGATTTTAAAATGTAGTGTAATTGCATAAGTGTTAAAGTAAAACTTTAATGAATTATGTTTATTTCTATGTTATCTTAGATTTATTTTAATTAATGGGTTCAATTGATTAAAAATATTAATTTATGAACGTGTTTGATGATTAAAGGATTTATAAATCAGACATTTTTGAAATCATAATGTAGGTTCCTTTAAGGTCTCAGTTATAGAACAATCTCAAGTAAATTTGAGTATGGAATTTTTAATCATAGTTTAATTCATAAATTATCTTACTTTATGTTATACTTTCATTATTTTATGTTACTTTCATTATTTTATTAGTATGTATGTGTATATATATATTTCATATGTGTATGTATATATTCCAAGATAGTTTTTCTTCCCTTCTAAGATAACTCATGAGTCATATCTTTATGCCTCTTCTCTCTGTTGTGTTCTTTCTCCTTTTTTCTCTGCTAAATCTTATTTATTCTTAAAACTCAGTTTGGGCCACCTGGTGTAGTGGGAAGAATATCAAATTACACAGAGCTCAATTCATTCCTGGCCTTTCCATTTAAGATGCGTCATCTTGGGCTACTTGTTTATCCTGTACACCATTGGTTTCTCATTGTGCACTGCTGGTCCCAAAGGATTGTTGTGATAATTAAGTGAAATAAAATTTGGAAAGTACTCGTGTACTGTAATAGTAGCTGTAATTTATTGACAGTTAAGTGTAAGCAGTATGTTTTTCTTCCCTTTTTGCTAAGTTATGCAGTTCTTATGTTGGGAAACCTTGTCATGTCTCTCTAAGTTAAACCAGCTACTGCTTTGTTCTTCCACAACATATTGCTGTTACAGATATTTTAGAACTAAAACATTTATATCATGCTTATCTGCTCTTCTTTAGTTTGTAAACCCCCTGAGAGCTGAAAACAGTGATCCCACTGTGTCTCCATATTGCTAATGTTTACTGGCACATAGTAGGCCATCAGTCAGTGGTTGTGTACTGAATAAATGTATAATAAGGGCCAGGTGCGGTGGCTCATGCTTATAATCCCAGCACTTTGGGAGGCCAAGGTGGGTGGATCACTTGAAGTCAGGAGTTCAAGATCAGCCTGGCCAACATGGTAAAACCCCATTTCTACTGAAAATACAAAAATTAGCTGGGCGTGGTGGCGCCACCTGTAATCTCAGCTACTTGGGAGGCTGAGGCAGGAGAATCACTTGAACCCTGGAGCTGGAGGTTTCTGTGAGCTGAGATTGTGCCACTGTACTCCAGCTTGGGCAACAGAGGAGAGTATGAAAAGATGATTTTTTTCAGTGTATCTAAGGAGCGGTGGTATTGCTGATTGAAAAAACAAGAGATGAATACGTAATCATTCTCTTTGTATTTTTTAGTAGCAATTGAGGTAATATTATTATTATAATTTTTCTTTTTTTTGAGACGAAGTCTCACTCTGTCACCCAGGCTGGAGTGCACTGGAGTGATCTCGGCTCACTGCAACCTCTGCCTCCAGGTTCAAGTGATTGTAGAATCACTTGTCTCAGCCTCCCCAGTAGCTGGGATTACAGGCACGTGCTACCATGCCCAGCTAATTTTTGTATTTTTAGTAGAAATGGGGTTTTACCATGTTGGCCAGGCTGGTCTTGAACTCGTAACCTCAGGTGATCTGCCCACCTTGGCCTTCCAAAATGCTGGGATTACAGGCATAAGCCACCGTGCCCGGCCCAACTGAGGTGATTTTAAAGTAATAGTTGAAGTAATTGCTTCTATTTACATTATAATAATCCATATAAAGTGATATGTGTCAAATGTATGCTAATTATTCATAAATGCTAAAACTTATTTTTAAAAACCAAATGTAGGGCCGGGCGCGGTGGCTCAAGCCTGTAATCCCAGCACTTTGGGAGGCCGAGACGGGCGGATCATGAGGTCAGGAGATCGAGACCATCCTGGCTAACACGGTGAAACCCCGTCTCTACTAAAAATACAAAAAAAAACTAGCCGGGCGAGGTGGCGGGCGCCTGTAGTCCCAGCTACTCCGGAGGCTGAGGCAGGAGAATGGCATAAGCCCGGGCTGGACTGCAGTGGCCGGATCTCAGCTCACTGCAAGC